TATTGATTCATTAATGAGCACATTTGATCTTCCAGTTAAAATGACCAAGTTCTAAAAAGTGTTTTGGCTCAGAACTTCAAATGAAGTCAATTCATGACAACTTCTTGCAGACAACCACAACACGTGCACAAAAGTGGATTCCTAACCGTCACAGGCGACCAAATTAAATGTAATGTAGGACTTCATTTGCAGGTCTTTCTCTTGTGATGCAGTATTTCTACGCAGTGGAAGTACTTTTTCTGATGATCTAGATTCTACTTCTTACACCACAGCAAAAGTCATCGAAAGTCAAAACACAGCAAACCTGAAATGGTTCAAACTAAGCAAAGAAGATTGCTGATGTGCTCAAAGTAGCTTTAACTAAATTTGGTATTTTGAGTTCATACTGAATCTGATGAAGACGGACGGATTCATATTTCTAGCTGATATCACCAGAGTCAAGCCTCACACTCTGCAGGGCAACGGCACAAAGACGATTATTATAAAGATGCAGAACTGTGCATAATGCATAACTAAGCTCACTGCACTAAAAAGCTGAGGAAGAGAAGGAGAGGGCTGGCTAGCTCACTCTCACTCTGGCTCACATTATTTGCACCATAATAAATCTCTAAATTATGCAAATGCATGCTTGCTTTCATGTGCACGCGCAGACACACCGACAAAAGGCAGCCTTCTATGCATGTGTCAAGTCAGCAAAGTCACTGGATCATGAGAGAGGGAGGGAATATGTTATTTAGTTTTCCAATGCATTTATTTATAGGAGGGTTGTTTTTATGCAGTTTTGGTTTTGCCTCTTACGGGTTGATGTGCTTTTGATAGCACATGGCTACATTCTGTATTATTTACATTTCACTGGTTTGTATAGCAGAAGAGAGGAGGGATAAAAGGAGGAGGATGAAGAGGTGGAGAAAGGTTAAAAGATGTGACTAGAAGGAGAGAGATAGAAAGAACAGGAGAGGATGAAGAAGCAAACAAATAAGCTGAAAATGAAGATGTTTGTAAGAAAAGACGTACAGTGCTGAGAAATATTTAAATAGTGTTCAATGTTTTATAATAATTAAACCAAAAACGATTTATAGCATATTGTGTTGACATAACATTACCTAACGTGCAATTAATATAGGCCAACAAATATGCTTATCTATAAACTGAAGCTAAATATAGACACGTATGCACAAGAGGATACAGATGTGCACCAGCACACACAAACACAATACCTGAATCCATGTACTTACACATGCAAGTATTCATATTAGCCTAAATAGCAACACAGTCTCACAGCATTTCGTGTTATAGTCACGAAATTAATCTATTGATTCGTGTTCACCAACACGATTTTCGCATTTTTTTCGTATCACACAGAACGATTTCAAAAGCAATGTAAATATTATCAAATTTGAAGGAAAAAGAGATAATAAAAAAAATACAGATTTCAGTATTCTGACAGTACGATTTTAGAAGCAATGTATTTCTATTGGTAGTATGTTTCGTGCCTGCACCAAATAAGAACAAATTAGAAGGATATTTTTTCTTTTTTTAAATACAGATTTCAGTATTCTGAGGCTCTGAGCCCCATTTATTTTCCTCCAGGACGGAAAAAAAACTCAGACATTACACTATTTTAAATAAAAGGGTTAGGGTTAGGCTTAGGGTAAGAAAATGTTTTTTTGAACCACACAGCTTCTGGTCTTCCAAGACCCGACCGGACAAAAATACGTGGTGCAGGCACGAAACATACTACCAATAGAAATACATTGCTTTTAAAATCGTTCTGTCTGACACGAAATAGATTAAATTAATTTCGTGACTATAACACAAAATGCCTTGAGACTGGGTTACTTGGCTAGGCTAAACATAAAGCAAAGGGAAACTAGCGAGCCTTGCTCTCTCAAAAGTAAAACAATTCTAAAGCTAAGTGATTGTATAAATAGTGTAACATTTTGCAAAAATAGATTTACATGAGAAGATTGACACAAAGTTCATGTTTTGTACAATATGTTGTAGCTAGTGCTAGCTGTCTGTTACCGCAGTGTAGCAACAAGTCTTGAAGCTAACTTGCTATAGCTTCTGTACAAATTTCAAAAACATGTCGACCAACCCCTCTGAAGCTTAAATTCAGATTACTATCCTGAGAAGGGCAATTGAGTTTACACGGTCCATTACTTGTATCCTCAGTTTTGAACTATGCTACTGCTAATAAATAGTTGGGTTCAGAATTCCAGAAAAGACAGACAACTTCTAAGTTTAACTATTTATTGTAAAGAGAGCAAAATATGTATATTACTTGGCCAAGGACTCATCACGTCCTTGGGAATCACAGGCAGCAAAACTGTAATCTGTAACCACCAAATCCGCCAAGAGCCTCGAACCTCGTGCGACAATACATTTTATTACACAGGGCGTTGCCCGTACATTTATGATTGGTCAAGACTAGCTGAAGAGATACCGCGGTTTAGACTTGGTTCTCTTTGGTTGGTGCGCAGACTCAGATAGTGTCTTGGCAACACGATCCTCCAATCAGCATTCGGCCGGCCTGTGGAAGTCCCTCCCTACTCTGGCACCATCATACTAATTTGTTTTCTCTAACGTCTCTTCAGATATAGCGGGAAACCATAATGTTGCTTCCTAGCTTTGCGGGGAATGCGTCTCCCATACAAAGTGAAGGCCGGTGCGATGTGCTGTTCTGACTACCTCTTTGTGTTCTCTCAGTCTCTGCACTCGACCTTGCTACTTTCAATATTGCAAGCTAAACACTTGTAACTTTTCCCTTCGTTCCTCACTGCCACATAAAATGAGCACAATAAGCTTATAATGTAATAATAAGAATCAGTCTTTCTAATGTTATATACAAATAGACTCCACAAAATGCTAAATCTTTGACCTTCTTTTAGCCTAAAATACCAGCTATTACCTTCAGGACGCTTAAACATTTGCCCAAAAAAAAGATAGGAGGAGATAGGAGAGGAAATTAAAGAAGAGAATATAAAGAAATTGTGAAAAAGGAGAGACAGATAGAAAAGATGGTGGTAAATAAGTCAAAAAAGGAGATGATAAGATGGCTGAAGACGGAGGAAGCGAGGCGTTTTTAAACAAGAGGAGGCATTGTCAGTGTTGAATAGACGGGCAGTTGTTGAGGAACAATATCAGGCATGGATGCTTTTTCAGACAGAGAGATTACTAAACGAATCAGAGCATTGCAACAAATACAAATTCTGTACACACATGCACTCTCCTTTGTATCATTGCAGGTATGAATGCCTCTGTTAACCCCTGGGTTTAACTCAGGCTGTATGTGGAACAGATCTGTTGTTCAAGCCCATACTCCATTTGTTGTAGCATCAGATATAAATCTCTGTGCAGATTTGCCCTTGTATTGCATCTTAGTGGTAGTACAACTTTGCAGCTGTTCTCTGAGTTGTGATGTTATGCTTTGTTTGAAATGAAACACACTGCAAATCCTCGTCTTTCTCCCCAGCTGGTGTCCGCCTCTGAAGTTGAGCAATGTGTTTCTTAATGAGTCTCTGATCATAGTTCTTTCTCCCTTTTTATTGTTTTTGTTTTCAGTAAGAGCCATGAGGGGTCTCGGGTTCTTTGTGCATTTTTATGAAGTATTGTTTGTAGTTGTTCTGTTTTGGGGGGCATTTGGGATATGCACTCTTTAGGGCAATTACAATCATAAGAAGGAATGCAATATTGCTAGACCATTAGCAGCTGCAGGAAAATACATATTCTTTGGTTTTATTAAGTAGCGACATACCCTGAATCCGATTTAAAGCCTTAAAGGCAACACCTTCAGAATCCAGCCATGATTTGCAGCTTTTTTCAGGTGTTGGACTACTGGTTGGATAACAGAAGCTATTTAAAGACATCATATTGGGCTTTTTATTTTTGTAACAGTCAATTATGTCTTGAATTTGTCTGTTTTCTGATCACCAAAGGATTTATAAATGAATAAAAAGATTATAGAGAACCGCAGTGACGCGTCCTAAAACCCGGAAGTAAGTTAGCATTTTTACCACGTCCGGTTCCTTCGATAAAACGCAATGCAATTTCTCCATAGGATTTTGGAAAATAGCTCAAAATAAGGTCTGTGGTTGACACACATTGAAGAGACGGATCACGTTTTGTTCTACGACATTATATACATCAGCAGTGACCCCACTGGTGATTTTTGAAGAGTTTACGTGTCTGAAAAACGATGGTTGTTACCGAGTGGCTGAATAGGACTACAGAAGTTGTCCAGGCCGTTGTACGTCATTACACCGAACACGTAAACACTCTCGCTATGTTTGTTTGCCCTGTTCTGCTTGAAAGCAAGTACCTGCCTCCTGCAAACTGTTCAAACAAACGCTTCAACTTGTACCATTTAGAATCTGTATGTTTGAATATGGATCTTAAGTCGGCGTGACGTTGAAGCAGCGACCCTGCTGTAGTTCGTTTATAGCATAACGTTAGCATTTTGCTTCTGGCGACTAGATTTATGATTCGAAAATTATAAAAGTAGGGTAGACATGCGGATATTATCCGGCTGAACAAAACGTGATCCGTCTCTTAAATGTGTGTCAACCACAGACCTTATTTCGAGCTATTTTCCAAAATCCTATGGAGAAATTGCATTGCGTTTTTGACGAAGGAACCGGAACGAGTTTAATTCGGGTTTTAGCACGCGTCACTGCGGTTCTCTATTGCCATATGAATTGCTAATGAAAATAAATGATTCATTGTTGCAGTCCTATCACTTGCCCTATCATGATGGCCTTTTTCTCTGTTTTCTGACAATAAATAACACATTTACTTGAAAAACAGACATATTTATGGATAATGAAATAATTAGCTTCACACCTACTTATTTCCTCATGAAACATAAAGGTGGTACCCCTCTCCACTTCCTGTTGCTTTTTCTTTTATTCTGACTCTATTTCTCATCTCTCTCGTTGTCTCTTTAATTAGGTTCATTTCCCTGTTTCCCTTAACAGATGTTGTATCTGTGTGTGTTGCAGGATCACTCTGAATGGGATGAAGGTGTCCAGGCCAGACGTTCGCATCGGCCGCTACAGAATGATTAAACACGAGAGAGACAAACACAACGAGCCGAACCCACAGAGGTACTGCATCATTGTCCAAACTCTTTCTGGGGCATTTGGATCGATCGCGCTGCTTTTGTCTCAAAGCTACACAGTTCAGATGTTTCTTTCCAAATGTTTCATCGCCATGTGAGAGAATTATCGTTATGTTGCGCGGCAAAGGGCACACTATCAATAACACGCATTTATAATTAGAGATAGCTAGATGAATGTGCCGAAACATGAGCAACACAGGCAATATATGACCAGATATAAAACAGGTTCGTAAATGTTTCTCGGTTCTTTCTCAACATTATCTGCTTCTATTCTGTCCAATGTTGCTAAAATCACATGTTAAATACATTTTAAAACCTCTAAGAAGATTATATGAGAAGCCTTCCCCTTGTTATAGCAATTTCAACGCTCAGTTTTTGCTCATTCACAGTTCACACCTGAGAGCTACGCAATGTTAGTCCATCGCTCCTGCTATCATTCACTGAGCAGCTCCTAAGGAAAAACTTCACACTTAATAATAATAGAATCAAATATACAATACTTATGCTAAGGGAAGGGAATTTAAAAAATATATTAGGTATCTAATTTTCCTCAATGATTCGGTAAAATGTTATGTATGTGTCCATTGTTTCAGTGTCTTCTACACACTGGTAAGAATACCGGTTTTGTCTGGTAGAAAATAAAGAATATTTTATGAATATTTGTATTTAAGTATATTGAGTCAGAAATTCTGTTTTGAGCTACATCACCCAAGGTTTCTTAAATCCCCCACCCCTTTGAAAAACATGAAATGGTAGTTTCTGCCCTAAATGTATGCTGTAAAACTAATTCCATCACTACTGCTGCTATTGACTCAACCAAGACAAATATAAGCTAAAAGAAAAAGTGTATTGTTTTCTTGTATTGTTTCTATTTGATGAGTTTGAGATCACCCTACAGCATTTTTCCACTGAATGATAAAACCATTTCACTCATAGCAGGATGCTAAAAGATTAATGCATGAGGCTTTTTAAATGCATGAAGACATGGACATGTTAAATAAATAAAATATACATGCATTTTAAACATGCACTTGTCATTTCCTATATTCACAGCATTTGTAAAAATTGCCCTTCTACTAAAATGCAAGTTTCATAAATATCAACACTACGCTGCGTCTGCTGCGATGTCATTAGATGTTGGCTGCAGATAAGGAGGAGGCTTTAATATGTAAGAAGTATCACATGACTGAGCAAAATGTAAATAAAACTAGTTCTCCAAGGGACACAGCTCGGCTTTTCCGGCCACTAAAAAATTGGTAGAGACGAAAAAAGGAAATGTCAAAAGGACAAAACTATTTTCAATAAACCAAAAATGGCTTTCCACAGATGCAGCCCACAGGCTTTTGTGTCGCTCTTTTGGCTACACGCATTTCAATTGCTTTTTGAACAAACGTGAAAAAATACTTTCCCTATAAATGTGTTATTTTATGGTTTGATGAATGAGATGCAATATGCAGAGATGAGCGCTTCTAGACACATTAATCACCAGGAGTATAGCACCTCACATTAAGCTGCTTAAACGTGGATTATCACTGTTTGTTCTCCTCTAAGAGCCCAGTTTTTATGCCTCGATGGACAAGGCAACGATGCCTCTCAAAACAGAAATCGATATCCGCTCCAGCAGAAAGCAGACATAATGATCTCTGTTCCCTCTTTAAATATGGTTTTAGTTTGATCTCATGTGACATTATTACATCATAGCATTTTGAACGTCAGTATTCACAGTTGACTTCAAGTGTAGCTGCGGCTCCTAAATTGTTTTATAAGAAGATTAAAAATGAGTCATGTGTGAGAGAGCAGCGTCAGCCAAACACATTATGACACTTCTTATTTAGATTTTGCATACAGCCGCTAAACACGTGTTGCTTGAGTCTCTTATATATGTGTGAGAAAAGTATTCCCTACAATTTCCATTTCGGAAACTTCTTGAAACCTTGATTTTATTTAGTAATTAAAACTTAGTACTTTGGTATCAATTTACTGAAGCAATCATATCATACATGAAAGCTTAGCATAACTGTGTTTATTGCAGCTGTCTATGAATTCTTGTAAAGGCACTTTTATTCATTCCAAAGCCAGTGTAATTAATGTCATAGTTGACTCTTAAAACACATTGTTCAGCCATAAAATTATGCTTTCATGTTTGATCCATGACATTATGATTACTGATGTAAGAAATGAAAGCTTTAATAGGAACGGATTCTGTAAGAAACAGCCAGCGACTTATTTATCTCAAAACAAAAGATGATGAAACAAGAAGTGTTCGGTTGCTAAGAAGCAGAGAAGTGTTGCTCACATCCTGGCCTTACATGCATACCTTTTACTGACTGCACTTTGATGCTATCACTTATTATGTTCCCTCTGCTATGCTAACATATACAGATAAAATCCCCAACATTACACACAGCATAGGAGGAAGGACAATTAGACACTGAGTATTTAAAATATGGCTGGAAATAACATTGGTTGAGATGTTTGAAGGGAAAGAGTCCTGCTCACCTCCTGGTCTTACATTTATAAACCTTTTTTAGCGATTTTCTAACACCTACTTTTCAAATCACCTGCAGTGTGCCCGTCTCCGTGCTAAGCGATAAAGATACAAATCCACCCTCTTGTACAGGGGGCAGAGGAGTGCAAATTAAGCAGAACATGTTTTTACCTGCAAAAAGCTACTGGCCAAAGCTAAAGATATGTCAGACATCCATCTAGAAGTAGTTAAACAAAAAATCTATAGTCTACTGTTCAATGGTGGCAATAACTCATAGATGTGTCTTAAAGAACCAGGCCTGTGTAATATGTCATCCATCATTGTTTTGTGTGTGTTGGAGAGAGAGATAGGAGCCGGCTATGTTTGGACTTGTCTATTTTCCTGTGTCAAAAATCAATTTATCCGCCACTAGACAGAAACAAAGTGTGTGTTTGTCTGCGTAATACTCGATTTCTGTTTTCCTCTGATGTTGCTCTGCTCTCCCTCTTTTGTGTGCATTAGACCTCCTAAATAAAAGGTGGCAACAACAGGGACGCTATTTATTTGAAGCTGATCCATTATTCATAACCGTAGCAAGAGGGCAGAAAATATCTGCCTATTAGTCGGCTCAAGCGGCTTTCTCAAAAGATGCCCTTACGGACACTCATTATAGTGTCTTAGAAATGTTGGTTTAAAGGATTTTATTTTAAAAATAAGTGGTATTTTGACTTCTGAGCATGGCGGCTCAGAATAATCGGGAGCTTGTGAGGAAGATTGGCTGCATCGTGGCTCTATCGAGGTGGTGTGGGTTGAGGAAATTCTCTTTTCTCATTTCACTCAGCACTTTTTAACATCATGAGGAAGGTTTTGCCATTTCTGTCGGTAGAGTCTTTGAGGGCTTTTTTATTTCTCTGATGGACAACATTTACATCATTTGATATTCTGTATGATTGAAAACATTAGGTAGAGTTGTCGGTAGTGATGGGAATTATGGCTCTTTGAAGGGAGACGGATCTTATGGCTCCGTTCCTTTCAAAGAGACGTTCAAAAGAGACGTTTTTTAAAGGGGGCGGGGTTACTAGGTTTATCTTTAGGGAGGCTGTGGTGCAGTGGCCTAGTGCGTCGGTGTTCGGATCAGGGGAGCACAGGTTCAAACCCCACTGCAGTCAGCATGTCGTTGTGTCCCTGGGCAAGACACTTCACCCCAAGTTGCTCCTGTGGGGATTGCCCACAGTACTGAGTATGTAAGTCGCTTAACAAGTTAAATGTAATGTAACAACAAATACAACAAGCCGAATGGATAAACAAAAACAAATTGGTCTTCAGAAAGGAGATTAAGCAAGAAAGAAAGTGATAAAAACTAGAAAAGCTACATTTCAAGCTTATTCTTGCATATCAGAAAATTACACTTGACAAATTAATTATAATATGAATTTACAAATAATGTAATGTAATGTAATCTGCGAAATAATCACCAGGATAATGATTGACTGTATTGCCAGACCTAATGTCAATAATCTGCATTGTAAACATGACACAAGGTGGCGCCATATTCATGTCAGTGAATGTACTACTTTGAATGTACCCTCTGTATGTGTTAAGTAAATAAAGTTGCCTTGCCTTGAATGAAATTCATGCAACTCTTAATATTAGATACTGTGTGTTTAAGTGGCGATGGAGATTATTTGTTGATCCTGCTTTAAAGGATATTTTTCCTTTACAAATGGTGCGCTGTGTCACTGCCTGGGTTTTGGTTGAAGTGCATCCAAATGTTGCTGCGTTTTCGCGTTTGGCTCATTTTCCATCCGAATAACACGTCGTCTACCTGTCCTGTACCACTTGTTATGACTTCTCTCTCGCGCGTATTCCGTTAAGACCCACCCCATCTCACTCCTCGTGCTGAAACCTAGCAGTCAGAGTAGGGGCGGGTCTTCACAGAATACGTTTGGGGAACAAAATCAAGCTTTTTAACCAACGATTGAACGATAACAAGAACGGCTCTCACCGAGTACGACTCCGTTCCCCTCGTTCGTACCAAAGAGCCGTTCAAAAGAATGGGCTCGTTCGCGACCGACACATCAGTTGTCAGTAACCAGGGTAGCCCTCTGATAAGTTAGTACGGTATCACACTTTAGGAAGCTGTGCTTTGAGCTTCACTCTCACATGTTCATGCTAATATAAACACAATGACTATGCTAACATGCTGATTAGCCTTGTAGTTCTTTTTGCTGATAGCACTAAACATTACAGCTGAGGGTGATGAAGTATCGGCACATTGAACTATTGAACTGATGATGATGCTAAGTGAAAATGTGATTGGATCACAGAAGTATGAATAATTCACCCTGAGGTGGTCTGTGCCAAATGTCATGTAAACAGACTGATCAACTGACAGTGCCATACGACATTGTGGCACCAGCAAGGAGAAAAAAAGACAGATCCTCATTTTGAAGTTGGTGGTTGATATAAACTTAAGTAGTATAAAGAAAGGATGTTAAGATATCTTCCAGACATTTTTTTAATGTCTCAGTCCCTTCCTTGAGGAACTCCAGATACAGGTCAGAGATTTACCAGATCACTTTATAGAATGTTTGTGTGTTTTTGGATTACTCTAAGATTAGGCGATGAAGAACTTGCCAACAGACATGACTTCAAGTTTACTTTAATCAACATTGCCGTTTATGACTAACCTCCATTGAACGGTACGGTGCCGAGGCCGTTTAATGTTCACATATTTTGAATATTAGGAATGAGTGTGAACCTGAAGTCCCTCTCATCTACAGCAGCAACCTACTACAGTGTCTTTGAGAAATAGCTTTTTTTTAACTGTTTACTTCTCAGGCTGTACACACGTTGGCCTGTCACTCCATAACACAGATAAACTGCTTCTCTTTCCACTCTCTGTCTTCAGGTGCAGGGTTGCCTTTCTGTTTGGATTCAGATTAATGATTGAGCCTTTTAGGAGAGTTTATCGGGAGCACACGTGTAATGTTGAGTTTACCAAGGGAGGCGGTGTCTCGACTGTTTGATGAATGTTACTAGATCATAGCACAGCATACACACATCCACATGCACATATATATATGTATATTTAAATACACATTCACTCAAAATGCACACACTCTCACAAAGGAGTCCATTCTCACAGCACTTTTGTTGAGAGGCTGGTTAGGCATAGCAATGAGATATTGGGATAGCGGAAGTAAGAAAGAGGCACATTCATCACCAGCCGCGGGTATCAGTTTGCACACACACACACTTTTTGTCTGGAAAACGGCACTTCATGCATTGCAAATGAATTGGTCGCTCGGTAACTTAGTTCAATATTCTATTCATATGTTCTCCTCCTGGGACAGTGCAGATACAGGGCGAGTGTTTGGGTGTGTGTCTGGCTTCTGTAATATTGTATTTACCACGAAGATGGCTTTAAGTTTACTGTCTCATTCAGAATCCATTACAGGAATAGTTTAAAGTTTTGGGAAATACTAACATCAGATAGCTTCAATATACTTATGAAGTCAGTTAGCTTAGCTTAGGATAAAGATGGGAAACATGTGGATAGCGCTGGTCTGGTTACAAAATCCACTTTCAAGCACATCTAAAGCACATACATTAACATGTTATATCTAATTTTAGCTCTTAAGGTTGCTTTGTCAGTAGTTCACATGTTACCATTGGCAAAAAGGGGGTGGAGCACCAAGATTGGTCCATAACAAAAAGGCGAATAACTTCAATACGCAATTACATATCATAGGCTAACTGTTTGTCGTAGGCTATGTGGGAGGCATAATTGCAATTATTCTTCACTGTGATTGAGTTAAAGATTTTTTTTTTTAGTACACATTTTATTGGGAATTGATTTTTAGTTTCTCATAATTACTGAACTGTGTCTTCTTCATTATCATGATATACTGAATACAGCTTCTCGAAGTCCTTCTCTGGGTAAAAGACCCCTGAATTTGAGGAGAACATCAGTTTACTAGTTGTTATGTTTGCGGGATTATTCATAATGGATAGAAAGACATGTTTTGGAGGAAAGTTAGCTTTCTCTTAGGATCCTTGTGAAGCTGACAATTGAGCGGCCCGACCAAGCAAGGAGGCAGAGGCAGAACGTCCAAAAATATAACCCGGTGTGGGCATTTATTAAACTTGAGCACGGGACACAGCCTCAATCTTGCTGTTCCTGTGAGCACAGTCACCAGCCGCAAGGATCTCACACACACTACCAGCCCCCCAAAACAGACAGGGCAACAGAGCCTAAATACACACACACACACTAATCAGCAATTAGACGCAGGTGGGGGGGAGGAGACAACACAGGTGCACACAATCAACAGCAACAGACATGGGGGAAGGGGGAACACTTTTCAACATAAAACCAGCAAACAGAGACAGACAAATTTAAACACAGACAGATGCACACACTACATACATTTCGCCACCAACAAAGCTACACAATTCGTAACGGAGGCTGAGATCTATGGTCCCAAAGATCACCTCTGTTACAATTCTAATTTTCATATTTAAAAAAGTTTGTATTATTCAAATTAACAATTGTGTCAAAATTAAAGGATGAAGAAAAGAAAAAACAGACAGGCCAGCTGTTTCCCCCTTTATGTTTGCTAAGTTAAGCTAACCAGCTGCTCATGGTAGCATAATGACATCCAGATGTGATGATCGATCTTCGTCTCTCTGAAGGACATTACACATTTTGGGAGGACTCACTTTTTCTCCATAAATGTGTCCTCCCAAAATGTGTAATTATTCCTTTGATACATTATTCTACAACGAGGTCAGGTGAGCCAGCTCAGAATAAACTATACCACACCAGAAGAAAGCTAAAATAGCGGCAATGACGAGCTGTCGTTGAAAACTTAAACCAGATTTGTTTTCCTGTGAGACCCTCAGTGGAATTGAAATAGAGCTTTACTTAGCCCAGTTAACAGTCTGAAAATCAGGCTAATGAATATGTAGGGGGAATGTCTTTGTCTCGCCCTCTAACTCTCTGAAATAAAAGTAAGATAAATGAGACCAAAAGGTTTGAAACGATAGTAGCCTACAGATTGAGTAGATGCATTTGATATCCTCTTTAGTCTATAGGGATTATTTTACAGCTGATAATCTCCGTTTTCTGATAGATTCATCTAAAGATTTCTCTTTCCCTTTATTTTTAATATCAGTGTATCTGCTCCCTCCATCTGTCACTCGCTTTCTCAGAGATAAATCTATCTATGCTCCATTTCTCTCCCCTGCCATCTAGCTCTTATTTCACGTTAAACCGCTTTCTTTTCCTCCCCTCCTTCCTTCCTTTACTTGCACTCTTTCTCTTAACCGTATTCCCATTTCCCTGTCTGAAAGAACTGGCAAGCTTTAGACCACGTTATTCTACTTATTTTTGATTGCAGTCAATTTTTCAAGGGAAAGATGCTTGACAAAAAATATTCCTGCCACTATTCAAGACAATAAAGCTCTTTTTGATTGGATTTTCGAGAGGGGAAAGTGATTCAGAGGAAGGAGAGAGATCTTCACTAGTCAGTTCTGACAAGGCTCTGTTGACTCAGTGGTCCATGTCGGACTGAATAGTCAACTCCAGTTGTTAGTTCAACATATCATTAGGCCTTTTTTTTAGCATCAGTCACGGCTGTCATTTAAAGAGTCGATGTGCGAGGCGGGGCGTTTGCACATATCAGCTCTTTCTCTGTTCACACACAAAGAAAGTGGCATTTTAAAGACGAGAGAGTTGTAAACATGCAGTTGGACGCATGCACTCTGTGGCCTCATTTCCATCATGACTGGTTGCAAAAACTGATACTTAAACGTGGTCGACAGGAGAGTTAGTATTGTAAATCTGTTTTAATGTCAGAGGTTGCATCATGAGACAGTCTGACAAACTGTGGGAATGATGTTCTCATCTTGTATTCTCAAATCAAAGCAAAATGTAATGTAAGAGCAGATTCGTACCGTAACTGCTGAATCACAGCCAATGGAAAACAGATATTCACGCATAATTCAAACAAACCGAGGCGGATGTGATGGATCACTCTGTTCACTGAGTCACTGTGCAGCGCTATAGCACCACCTGTTGGTCAAGATCGATATAGTAATCAAAGCTGCATGTGTACTTCAATTAAAAACAACCCCAGGGAACTGTTTCTTCTCTTGCTTTCACGTTATTGCACAGCTACAATTATGTAGAAGTAGAACAAATAGTTTGTTCTAGTCAGGGGTAATTCTTATTGTAGAAATAATGCTTTAAAAATAGTTTAGGATTCATTTGACAGTTGTAGTTTAATTACTTACTTATGACCTTTTTACTTCCTATATCAAATGTGTCAAACTCAAGCCCCGGGGGCCAAATCAGGCCCTTCGTGGATTTAATTCTGGCCCGCAGGATAATTTCTAATTACTATTATATTATGGCCCGCCGGTATTTTGCACGCACACCTTCACTCAATCCTGAGGGTTTCCTCAGCTGAGAGCCTGATCCCAAACATTGATGAACTTGCACCCGAGATGAGATGCCAAGTATCTGGCTTGAACTAGCATCACAGAGCAGCACACTGAGTTTACATGGATGTTTCCTTCTGCACTTTTGTTCTTGAGACAACAGGGCATGTTTGTTTTTTTCTTTGAGTGAAATTGTTTTTTTGAAGCTGTTGTTGGCCTGTGGAAAAATGTAATCATAAGAGATGACTCTGGTAAAGCTGCAGATAGAGCCATAAGGAATGAATGCATCTGATTATTTAATGTTTAATGTTGTTTTTATAGGCAATAATTTAAGCTTTGTTAGTTCCAGGTTTAATATGTGCAATAAGTTAGTTTCAATAAGTTTTGCAATAAACATTGAACCAGTCCGGCCCTCGACTGGTACCCATTTTTTTTATTTTGATCCACTGTGTATTTCAGTTTGACCCCCCTGCCCTATATGTATCGACCTTATTTCAAGTTTTGGGTTGAGCTTATTTCTAATGTCTTTGGCCCTTTGGGTCTACTATACTAAATGAGATGTATCCTGTCTGTCTGCACCAGTGTTTCTCAAACTGTTTCATACCAAGGACCACTTAACCAATAACAAAAACAAAAACACTCGCGGACCACCTAACTCCACAAATATAAAAAAACATTGTTTTTCTAGAACAGATTACAAATCGCCTGAAAATGGTACAAACAAGTGGCAACATGTGTGATGAAGGCGTTGCGCTGGGCTATATATATATGAAACTTAACCTCGCTCCATTGCGGAGATATTCCCGCGAGAGTGCGGAAAACGGAAATTTATTTATTTATTTCAAATGTGAAATGTACCAATATACTCACGGATCACTAGTGGTCCACGGACCACACTTTGAGAAGCACTGGTCTGCACGATAAAGTTGATGTGCTTTATTTCTCTTTTTCACCTCTCTCTCTCTCTCACCCTCCAGGTTTAATAAAATCCAGAACACGAAGAACACAATGAAGAAGGACGGGATCAGCTTTCTGACCTACAGAGTGATTCAGTTCAAGAGGTACGCTCTGTACACAAATATCTCTGTGGAGATCGGCAAACCACCGCCCCGGCCTATAAAGGGCTAGAGAGCGACAGACGAAGGGAGGAAGTCGACATGCTTTGCCAGGATGGAAAAAGATGAGCAGAAGAGGGAAATCAGGAGATCACATATCCTAGACATCTGGAAAGATGCAGGAGTTAAAGGACAGAGGGAAAAGTCCCAAGCACTTAATGATCTCTTTCTCCCTCTTTACTTTTTTTTTTTGTAATTTGAGTTTGCCATTTCTGTAACAAGGACCCAGGCTCTTTCCAACAGTTTTAAGCAGCCACTGGCTTCACAGCTCCTACCTTTGCCAATCAGTGACTTCAGGATTGAAAGAGTGTGGAGCAAAGCTTGAATATCAGTGGCCGATCAAAGGTTGGCTGCAAACTTGGAAGCTGATACTTGGAGTCTTTCATTTACCAATCTTCTGAAAACTGGAAGTCGTCCAGTGGCATATCGACAGAGGATATTGAATTTTTTCTGGGAGTTAAGAGATGAGACAATAACGTCATTTGAAACTTTGGAAACTGTTTTGAATTATTCGCCTTCATCGAGTGGGATTTCTTGAAATATTTGACCAAGTTCATATAAACTGAAGGGAAAATATTTTTTTCATGGATACAAAGAGAGAAAGGAGATGTGGTGTTTGCCGGATTGGAAATGGAATATCAGGAATAATGAACATGGTGAACAAAAAAGCTTAAAAACATTGTGTTTCCCAAGCATTCACAGTGATGGTCAAGAGAATAACATTAACACGATATGAAAACATGCAGTGATGCTCTTTAGACTTGTACATGAAAGATTGCCTATCAAAGAAATCGTCTGACGCTCATCTTTACAAATGATGGTAATAGATGATTTCATATTAAAATCTTTGTCAGGGAGTTTTGATCTAATTACTTCATCAAATCCTCCGATATCAATTAATGAATGTGTATTGTGCCTGCATCTACTGTGCTGGGACACGCTGATCCAACATGTTCGTCAGCAGCAACAAACCCCCGAGAACTCTCTTTTTGTTCTCTTTTTTATATACATATATATATATATATAAACTCAAACTTTGGAAGCAGAAACTGAACTTTTGAAGTAACTCATGTGCTGGATGCAATGACGTGGAACCACCTTGGGAAAGTCATCAAATCAAAGAACCGAAGACAAGGCGGAGATACACTGACAGCCCAGTCGTGATTCTAAACCCATGTTTGGCACAAATTGGAGATTAGGTTTCTGAAAGCTTTGTTTGTTTCCTTTCACCCCCTTGAAAAAAAATAGAGATTTATTTTTAGTAATCTGGGCTTTAAATGTACATTTTTGTCTCTACACGGTGCAAACGGATTGAGTTGCATTAATTATCTCCAAGATACTGATTTGACTAAGTAGTCATTAAAAAATCTGACATTTACCACCTTTACTGGACAGCAAGGGGTTAAACTGAACCGCCAGATTAGTAGTGGCTCATATTTTACAGGAAAAAGTGTTTTTTTAATTTTTAATTATCTCAATCAATCCATTTACTATCTCTGCTATCATTTTTTCTAAATCTTTAAGAAAAAGATGATCATATCCGGAAAGAGGAAATGATAGGTCGATATTGTTCTGCTGGTGGAAATGGTTAATTTTAAGACAGTAATGAGTTTGAGCAGTTTGACTGACATCTCTATTGCTGCTTCAGATGTTATCATTACCAGCTGTCAGCTCTTTATTCAAATCTACTTTATCTCACTTTTTCATTAATGATAGCTACATTTTCATAACTTTTCCTCATGTGAAAAATCCACAAACTAAATCTTAGATCATGACTTCCTCCATCCGCTTTATTGAAGCCTTTGACTGTCTCATGTATTGAACATTACTCTTCTTCCCTTGTTTTATTTTTCCTTGTCTCTACTGTTGACGCCTAAACACCAAACTGATGCCTTCAGAAGTGATCGATACTAAAGGGGCAGGGACGGTTATTTCTTATTTAAAAGGGTACAAATGATTTGGGTACAAAATTAATCGAGGAAGTTATGTGTTTTGAGATGTCATCGAGAAATTAAACAATATTTGTTTCAGTTTTGTACATTTTTAAATATTTTCACCCATCGAAAATGGTTAAACAGGCAGAAGATTATGCAACGCAGCACCTGTTTGAATTAGGTATCATTCAGGACAAATTGGGGCTTTTATTTTGGTAAAGATAATGTACAGTATAGCCTCCCCTCCCCAGCCTCGAGGCAATGATAATGCTCCCAGCTGATTGGCTCTCCGTTATCTTTGCTGAAAGCCTGTTGGACGGTTTGATTACTCCTCTCTCCGCCTCTCACCCAAAATGCATTCACACAGTCTTCCCTTTTTTCTTTGCATTATCTCGCCTTTCATTGCCTTTTCTTTCTTTCTTTCTCTGCCAGTCCAGGCTGTGTGTGTCAATGGCACTTTGTTGTGCTTTGCGGAGGGCCCACTTCAGGCACAGCTGTGTCTCACAAGAGTGCTTCTTCTTTCAATAGCTATCGACAGAGCCTCTCTTTGTGTCTCTGAATCTGTGCCACTTACTGTCTGCATCTTTATTTTTCTATCTCACTACACTTCCCTATTTGTGAATCCTTCTGTTTCCCCCCTTTGCTTATTTTTCCTTTTCACCTCCATTGATAATCTCCTGGTGATTTGAAGTGTCCTCAGTGGGCAGACTACCTGTTGAGAATAAAATATCTTCTCTATACTGTTTACAGCTTAACAAGTGCAATATTACAGATGTGTTCACATCCACCACATATCCTGCTTCAAAATCATTGTTTTCAAGCGGTATGTTAGGTGACAACACTTCTTAAAGGTTAGTTCTAATGCAGTCATGCTTGTTTTCCTCATATTCATCTCATGTATTTGAAATCTCTAGTGATCACTCTATTGATTTTAGTGTTCTGCTTCCATATAGGTTAGAATTGGAGCAGCATATGCCGACATATCCTGACTTTTAGTTTCTAGTATGTATTTAATTCATGGCTTCAAAGTACATGTTACATGCACACTCACAACAAGTAGAAACTACAGTTTACACTTTTAAGAAAGATTTCCTCAAGACCCCCTTTCTGGTTAAAGAACACGCACATTTCCCACATTTGAAGTTGTGCGTTAAAATGGGGGAAAATATTTCTGGAATCAGCCGCTGCCTCCATCTCACAGCTCTATTAGAGTATCACTTCCTGCTAAAGGCCCACTTTCATTACCTACACCTACAGCTCATTAAGTTTCGGTCAAGAAAAAAAACCATGTCTCGAGCCAAAAGCGATGTAACCCTGATGACCTGATTCCTTCTTACTTTTAAAAGCTCATTCCACAGCAGAAATGATAATGCAAATTGAACTTCAAAATTAAGATGAATTCCTTTTCATTAAGGCTACTCAAATATTACAGGCAACCCTTAATGGGATCAGTTACATGAAGAAAGCTGAGGAGTGACGGGTATTGGAACATGGATAACAAGAGAGGCCCCAATGTGTATTAAACAGAAACACGGGAGATATGTAAAAGATCAGCAGCCGAAACTCCAGCAAAAAAAGTATTTGAAAACATCTCATTCACTGGAGGATAGAAACCACTGTGAGGAGCGCTTGATGTTTCTTAATAGACTCTTGAGTTTTGAAGCCGTTCTACTTGTCAAGCTCACCTCAGGTGGTGGTATATTCGCAACACTTTTCTTCAAATACTTTTTTTTGCTGCAGTGAGCAGACGAGACTTCTAGGCCTGTGGGCGTTTTTAAACATTTACTCTAGCTATGTTTTTTTTGTACATTGAATGTTGAAAATGTTATATCTTATATAGAATGCATTACGTCATATCAAACCTACTTTTTCTATACAATCAATAAATCTGATGGTTAAAGATTACCTCACTGTGTTGTCACTCTTTTTTCCCAGGGTACTGAAGAAGACACTGCTGAATAAATAGAAATGTCATTATAAATTAGTTTTCACCTGGATCTGATGTAATCCTAGAGCCTTATAATGTAATATGGCCACTTTTTGGCAACCCTATTTCTTGTTTCCATGACAACTCACATTTCTGTTGTTTCTAGGGTCCCGGTGACTAAGATTACATTCAGCTTTACTCCTGTCCTTGATTCTCTCTTGTATTTTCTCTGTTGTACAAACCTACCATTAGTATGAACAACTCTGTATTGCTTCAAAGTTAAGCTCTTTTATGTTCTACTTCTTTTCTCACCCTTTTATGGTTTTGCAGGGTTTTGCTCTGGAAACAAACTGTCAGCAGAAAATGTCTGCAGGGAAATCAAGATGCTGTCCTCTCAGAGATACCAGAGCCAAAAGTCATTCAAATAAAGTAAAAAGACACAACTCAAGGAAAACACGGAGTGAGAGGTGTTTAATGGACATGGAAAGGTGTTTTGATTTGGAATACTTTACAAGATGCCGGTGAATAGTGTCGGCATATTTAATTACACTACATGATTTGTTGGTGTGATTCTTATTTGTTCCCTTTTTATTACAGGCCGTTATTTAAAGCTCCACTTTTTTTTTGCAGATTGTTAAATGAGGAGAACTACACCGAGAGTGGTTTCAATCATTGCATCTCACTCAGAAACACAAAGCGTATTTCACAAATGTCAATCTTTTCCTTTAACATTGAGTTTCAGATTATTGGGTGATATTCACTCACTTTGGTTTGAATGCCAATCTCCTCAGGAAAATATAAATGTAGAAATGGTGTAGTCATTCACAAAGTCTCATGAAGATTTAAAAGGTGTTCATAACCCTAAAAGTTTAAAACGTAATCCCAAACCTTACTGAAAGAGGCTTTTCACGGAGATTGAATGAAGCGAACTGTGTCAGGTGTAATGATATACTTCATACAGCAGCACTTGGGAGTCTTATGCTTAAGACTATGTTTAAAAAAACACGATTCAAAGCTACACATAAACTTATAACAAGACTGGTTTATTTTTGGTTTTCATTTAAAGGTCCCTCCTGTTTTAAGTGGTTAGATATTGACAAATAACAGTAGGAATATCTGCTGCATATACAACTACATAAAACAATTCAGATCTCTTTCTTATAAAGGTAAATGACAAGTGTACATTTTGAAAAGAGTGGAAATATCAAAAGGTTGTTTCTATGAAAGGCCGCACATTTGTTTTAGTCGATAACTTATAAAGCAGATCATTAAAGATGTTTTTTCTAAAGTACATGCACAACAAACATTGCTTGTGCCTATAAACTACTGTATAGTCATAATTATGTTAGGCCATAGTCAGATGAGTTATATTTCAATGGGCCTGAAAATTGAACTGCAGAATTTATACGACTGTTACAAATTGTTAATCGCTTTGCTAAGCCATTTCCTAGTCTAAATTGCATCACAGCTGCATTCATTAGGCTGGCGCATCAACCCGTGACAAGTCAATTACAATTTTTTTATAATCAAATAATCTCATTGGCTTTGTTGCCAAGCACGTCAGAATAAAAAAAAGAACTCTACAAAAGCTTACTCGCTCATTAACTCCTAGACTTTTTGAAGAAACCATGGCCAGGCAGACAAAATAAAAAACTGTAAATATCTGAATTTTGGTGATGTTTCAAGAGTTAAGCTTGTTTTTATTAGGTTTTCTTTTTGAAAACCATATTTGTTTGATTATGGGTTTTGTTAATGAATACAGATGTAACAGTAAGCTCAAGGGCTGAAGGTCAGGCCCTATACATCCAACGTCTTATTTGACAATACTGCCGTCCATATTATTGAATTGGAGGAGATTTAATCCTGTTTTCCTTCACTGTTTTCAATGGTTTTCAAGAACTACAATTCAGTTCCTTAACTAATGATAACGTATTGTCTGTGTTTCTTCACATAGATATGGCCGTATTAGGTTATTAGGGGGCCTACTGATCTTTCACTTACCAGCCTGTATGCACTGTTTATCCTGCCAACATGTGTCTGTCTGTGTCTTAGTTAGTTGGATAGAACACAACTTAATATGGGAATATGCACCATGGAAGCACAATACAAAGTAAACTAATAAAGGCATGGACTCAGAGCCCATCCATATGACAGGACCATGCTTTTAGATAATAATTAATTTGTTCATATTGTACTTTGCACATGATAAAATTGACAAAACCGTCTGACATGGAGAAAACCAGGAGTTTGTTAACCAACGTTTCAAACTCAATGGGTCTCATCAGTGTTGCAGAAATGTTAAACGAACAAAACTCCTTGTTGAATGGGAGCTAATCTGCTTTGATGGCTTTTGGAAGTTGCAGATAATCTCTTTTCAGCTGCAAAAGAGAATGTTTTTAGAGATGGAAGTTGATCAGACATCGGGGGATTGTATATTCTGCTGACAGTGAATCAGTTTTTATTGACGGATGGTTGTTCAGGCGTACAGTTTTTGAGGCGGGAGCAGGAGGCGAGGCGGTTTCCCTCCCAGAAGCCGGCATCCTGGCCATCGTGACAGCGGCACTTGGTGCAGGAGTCGACCCAGATGGGCTCTCCTGCAGGAATCACCTGGCTGCGGGATGCATTCACGTAGCAATTAGGACCTGCAGGGAGAGGAACAGCAGAGGTATGTAACTGCAGCTAGAAGATATTGAGATGCACATAGTGTACAATCAAGCAAACTCATCCAATGCAAATTATCAAATGCAATTGAATTACATTTGACAGAGATTAAATACTTTATTGTTCACTTTCTGTCTGCAAAGAGCATACATGTGTTTTTGGTTTGCATGTGCAAAACTGGTCTATAAAGGCACATTAAAAGACACATCACATCCATTCAGGACACATTAAAAAACATTATTTTACAATTGAAGCTACATTAAAATTAGCACCACACACTCCATGGTGAGGTCTGAATCAAGGTTAAATAAATAGATATAAAATGAGAAGTGCTGTCGAGAAAACTGCCTTCCAAAAGCAGCTGTCCTAACTGATTAAGATATTTTTTGTTCAAACATATTCTTTGAGAGGTTTTTCTTTGCACAGGGGACTCTTTGCATCTGTCCTGAGGGCGGTAGCATTAAGGAATGACTAAGGTCATCTTAGACTTTGCAGCTTTATTGTTGAACTGCTTTCCCGTGGTGATAAAACAGTGGGGTTTGTTCATACAATAGAGGAGATAAATCTCCTGTGGCATCTCTAAGAGGCCCTTTGTGCTTTATTGTTTATTCTTAAACTTACGTTCTAACTTTTTTAATGCTATTCCAAACTTACCCTCCTTGCATTCAGGGCAGCATTTCCCAGGCTGGTAATTGGGGTTGACACATGGTGGCGGGGCACAATCTGCAACTAGACAGCGGGCGATACCATCACTGTCACAAGTGCACTGCTCACATTCTGATGGCTGGGAAAACATATACACACACACAAATAGTGAGAATCAGCATCTCTCACCAAGCCCTTTTCATGCCATCTCAAAAGGGGGCGCTAGTTACCTTCAATTTCAGACTATACTTAAATTACATACCAACATACCAGACAGTAATTTATTGGATCAGAGTTCTGCACGGAAATACCCTGAACAATATATAATTTGGCTTATATAGGCCTATACTTATGATTATAACCTGCAAGCTTGTGAAATCAAATACATTGTTGAAATATATGCTTGTGCTAGTTACACAGGATTGCAGAACAGGCTGATACCTGTATAAAGGGAACTGAGGTTTACACATAAACAGTGCTGCTCACCTTTAGTTTTTATGTGTGATTGGGTTATTATGACAAAAACTCCTTGGCTGCTTACATTTTTCTTTAGACCTGACTTTCGAGAAGGGAAACATTTAAGTAACCTTAAACATGTAAAGCCCTAAATATACAATATTATAAATGGGGACATGCATTCCCCATCTATCCTGGAAGCACAGGCCAACCCTATCTTTGCAAGTTACGGGCTTACCTGGAAGTTCTGCCCCAGGTCGTACACCACTCCTCGGTACTCACACCCGATCTTCTCGCACCTGGGGCAGCAGTCGGACGGGTAGTGGCTCACATGGATGCATGCAGCCGGGAGAGAGGTGCACTCAGTGCGGGAACATGCAGAGCCCTCACTGGTGCATTCACACTGGGTGCAGTGATCAGATTCCAGAAAATACCATTCCCCCACGAAGTATATGCTCCCGTTGGCCTCGCAGGTGCCATCCTGTCCGGCGACTGAGAAACCAAAACCGGCCTGTGCGCAAAGAAGTAGTGCCAAAACGACCGTGCGTATTCTGCGCTCCAAGGGAGGGCTCCCTCTGAAAACCATATTGAATTATATGATAACAAATAGACCAGGTTAACAAGAAACATCCACTGTAGTCCAGCTGGGATTTGGGAGAGAGATTGCGAGAGTTATTTTACATTGTTACTGAACGCAAAAGTCCTTGGCGTTACCTCAGTCCTCCGCTGAGGCTGAGCAGACCTCTGGAGAGAGCCCGGAAGGGGGTGGAGGTTGGGGGGCATAAAAAGGGAAAGTTTTATATTCACTGCTTCTCCGAGAGTTCACACGCCAGTCTCAGCTGAAGTCTTTCCCTCCCCCAATTTAACATCTTGAAGAATATTAGTGCAGTCAGACTTTTACGACACTCCAGGGGTCTAGTGTGTTGTCTATGGGCAATTACTAAAGTATACAAAGCATATACATCGGTATTTATAGATAATGCATGACACTGTCATTTTGTAAAGCAAAAATAAACGAAAAACAACAACAAACGGTGGGAAATATAGGGGAAAACATTTTTGAGTGTTCTCTTAATAAAAGTAAACCAACTGTTGACAGTTAAGGCAGATCTCGCGATAACTTCCCATGGCAACTGGAATGTTTACCCTGGACAGCTTTGCTAGGTTCAAGATTGGGTGAGAATGTTTTTTCCTTTTAAGCAACATTACAAACGCATATTCTGAAATGTCTAAAACGAGTTATACACAAGCAGTTTATCATGTGTTTGTTGGTGTTAGAAATACACTTTGTACACCTCGTGTTTTGGAAAATGAACATGCTAGCCTTCCTGAGAAGACGGGTAACAGTTCACCTGTTTTTTCAATTAGCTAACAATGCTAAAGTTTTGCTAACAACATACAGTTGTTGTGGACAAAACTAGAGAAAGTAACATGGTAATTTGTATCTTTTTACCCATGCAGTGCAGCTTCATGCCCTTTAAACCTTTTTTGTGTGCAGAAGTTGTGAGATAAATATTTAGATATTTAACTTAGTCAGTATTACAGAAAATGCTCCATTACAAGTAGAGCTCAATGTAAAACTATACACATAGCAATTATATTTTACAAGATTAATAACAAATGTTAAGTTACATCTTAAAGAATCAGCAACGTTACTATCAATGTCAATTTACTGTAGTCGGGCAACAATTATTACAGTTTGCATAAAACTCAAGTAAAGTTAAATGGCTTGAAAATGACACTACCAGTGTTGAAATTGGTTTCCTCTAGCTACATTATATTTCATTTCAGCTTGTTTTTTGTTTCTTTATTCCTAGATTACCATTCCTATGCAGTCTCCTGATGGAAACCAGCTTCGGCCAGTCCCTGTGGAGCCTGATCACTGAGCATGTTCCTGGGTCAGAGCTGTGTAAGATCCACACAGCACTGGGTTACTCTGTAGTTGACATGTACATAGAGGTGCACACTGAGGTGAGTTTCATCCCTGCACTGTTTTTTTTAGCTTTACAATTAACATGTTTTTTAAGTTGGAAAATGTCTTGGTTCCAAAAATTGAAACACTGAATGTTGTAGGGTCTCACAAGAATACCACCAGACCTTTTACAATCATTTTCATTTTAGTTCCATTTCCGGGTGGATTAAACTATTTGCTCTGCTCAGCATTCCTTAGCAACAATTTATGATCTGCTGGGTTGTGTTATGTACGTAGTTTAGTTGGTCTTCATACACGCCTTCATTCCTAGACTTCCTAATAAAAGTGAATTGTGGGTTAACTGTCACTACGCTGAAATGCAGTCCAAATGTGAGCCAGGCAGACATACATCAATATTTTCTTTAGGCGAGCAAAACTCTCTGCCCCCAACCCTCTTGCATGGAAAGTACTCAAAATGACCTCACTAAAGAAAGACTTGGCTATCGGAAACATCCACTGCTCGTTAAATCAAGGTCACGGCTATTCAATTCTAAAGAAAAGCATGGTGACTCCTTAAGTGTGGTCACAAATATTTAATTAAATAAAATTGTCTATCATAAGTTCCAAGAGCTGAAACTCACATCATTCAATGTATTGTTTTTTTATTCCACCTTCCAATCCGTAACCTGAAGGTATTCAATAAACCTTATGATGACAAAACAGTGAAAGGCAGAAACAAAAGTTTTAAAAAAAAATCTAAATTGTTCCCTGCTGATGAACTTATCAACAAATCATTTTAGCTCTAAAGGAAATCAAACGTTACAGTGCATTAAAAAGGGCTCAGTGGTTTACCATTCATTTAAATATGGGGAAATGCGGCCTAGTCTACTGCAGAAACATTCCTTTCCATCTGAGTTACATAAGCGACGTCATGCCATGTTGCACTTAAGACCAAGTGTGTAGCTGTAGATTTCACAATGAGTTTCTTTAATCAGCACTTTCTGTGGGTTTTCAATGTCTCTGTTTTGTTTTGATTAAGATACAACTGTGCCTCTCTCCCCTTCTCTTTCCGTCTTCTTTGCAAAATCTACTCTCCTACCGGTGCCCACTTCTGTTTTTTCGTCTTGTGTTCTTTGGTGAAATCTCTCCATCTGTAGATGTTATCAGCCTGCAGCGGGCCCACAGGCCAGGGGCTGTTTGCAGAAAAACATGTTGACAAAGTCTGTCTCGCTGACCACATATTATTTTCGTGACAGTTGATATTTTTAAATGTTACATGTAAGCATTAAACAATCCCTTCGTCTTACCCACACACACAGGCATGCACACACTCTCATATTCAATTCACAATTACATTCTCAAATTAAATGTCTACCTACATTAAAACGATTTGATTTAAAGCACTTATCAAAGAAGCAATAAACTTGAAGTGAAACCAGAATGTTGTGGAGAAATTCAGTACACACACACACACACACACACACACACACACACACACACACACACACACACACACACACACACACACACACAAAACCAAGTAAGCTTAGTGAGTCAGGGGTTTGGTATAACCGGGTTAAAGAGGCTAATCCGCAACTGTTGATAAGACCGTTAGCAACACATTTTATTTGACTCTGATGTGTGTGTGTGTGTGTGTGTGTAGTAAATATAGTGTAAGTGTGTGCATATGTGTACGTGTGACTTTCAGTATTGCTCTGAGGTTTTTTTCACCTACAGTTCAGTGAATGCAGTGGTTGGCAGCTAAGCTCTCAGACGGAAATAAAGGCTGAGAGCTTTAAGAAATTTCTAGGAAACAAAACAAAAGCACAGAGCACCTTATTCTACTCCTTAAGTTATTACATTTACTGCAGGGTGGATCACTTCCTTTTATTTCGTTTTTGTCTCTCAGCCATGTAATGAATTCCATCCCTCAGTGAACCACTGTGAAAAGTAATAGTTTATCTGCGCACGACTCCTCCATTCCTCAACATTGCCATTCCGGCCTTCATCAAGGTCTCCATTGTCTCCGGCGGTTAGATCAGAGGAAACATTAGCCTCTCTTTTCAAGCCTCTGTACAAGGCCAATCTCTCAGTACCTCCCTCCAGACTTTCACTCTACTGTCTCTCTGCTCGGAATGCAAATGAGCCCTTTAAGTTAAATATATGAAATAGTTCAGCTTTTAGAAGGTTTTTTTAAACTAACAAGTTTCAACAGCGCTCACTGAAAATAGCTCCTGGATGAGATCACAGCTCAGGGAGAAAGAAATAAGATCCAGGAACAACTTGTTAGCTGGTGAGCCATGAAACATCAACACCTGAAGACAGACACAGGAAGCCTGTGTGTGTGTGTGTGTGTGTGTGTGTGTGTGTGTGTGTGTGTGTGTGTGTGTGTGTGTGTGTGTGTGTGTGTGTGTGTGTGTGTGTGTGTGTGTGTGTGTGTGTGTGTGTGTGTGTGTGTGTGTGTGTGTGTGTGTGTGTTTTCACAGCGTGCGAATGCTGGTATGTGAGCACACACATCAGCACACGTGGAAAGACCAGAAGCCGCGTGTTCAGTATCCTCTAGTGTATTCCTTTGAAGTGAAGTCTTTGACTGCAACATGACAGAAATGATCGGCAGGCAACAGGTGGGGAGGTGCTAATGGTATCCAGACTTCGCTGAGACACATGCACACAATTATTCACACACACCTTTTTAATGTCTTTTCTTATTTTACAAATGTTTCTCTTGGATTATGGTGAAATGTGTCAGTGCGTGTTTTGTGTAAAAAGGCACAAATGAGGTGCTGGGTATAAAAGTAAACCTATTCAACCGAATAAAGAAGAAGTCAGGCATTAAAGTTGACCATTTTTCTTTTTCACATTTCCTTGATCTGCTGTGATAATCCTATAGCAAAATGACACAGACTAAGAAGCCGCCTGTTCCCTCAGCCAACAGGGCTGTTTGTCTAAAGACATGGCAACCTAGAGTTCATCAAGCTCAGTCTGTGCTACTGAAGTGTTTCTACAATTACAGACATATTAGGGATTTATTTATGTATATTATTATTTTAAAGGAAACAGTTGTGTATGCCATATAAGAAGGACTTGTTGTTCCGATGTTACTCTTTTCAGAAAACATATATTGGTTAAAAGACAGTTCAGCCGTATGTTTTCTTACTATTTATTGTATCCTGTTCAACAAAGACAATGTGTAATGAAAAAGGGAGTTACATTATAGCATTGTGTCAGCATGTTCACTAGTTAGTGGTAACCTTTTTGTTTAATGTAAATATTTTCAATAGTTAGATTTTTTATGATACAAAATAAAAAATAAATATATTCAGCTCAATTTCTTTTTTATTCCATATCAGGCCAGGATATCTTTGAAGATAACTTGGTCAACAATGACTCTAAATCCTGTAAATACAAACAAAGTCGTGTTCAGTTGACAGTGAGTGAGAGGAATCCTGCACCTATACACTCACAGCTTCATTCCTTTTTCCACAGATTATTTTCAGATGTTGTCTACATGAGTCTCTATTAAAATCATAAAATAATCCTCACTAAATGATGGATAAATGCTTTCATTTAATTAGATTATTGCTTATTTTATGTGGACTGTCCACTCTACTTTTAAAAAGTGGTTCACTTAATCAAATAAAAAAATGTGTATGTGTCACATGGACTGATACAAAAGTGTGTTGGTGTTTCAATGTGTTATTTTTGAAATTATTTGATATACAACCACTTCTCTAATATTTTTTGAGGCGGAGATGCAGTACAAGATGTGGCAAGGGAAGCGACGAGGAATAAACGGCAGCAGGAACGGGACCCCACTCCCTTTAGCCGACCCCCCTGCAGTCAAAGAGCTGGTGAGAGCCGAGGTCAAGATGTTACTACACACTCTGAGAGAGAGAGCCAGCAGAGAGG